GAAAGAGACTGCCACTCCTACGGTGGCAGTCTGTGGCTGGCACGTGACAAGTGGGTGGGTGTTCCCATCTAATTCCTCTAAAAAATGCACCACAAAACAGATCGCAAGCGTCATGGCCAGGAAACGGCCTGCCTTCAGAAGTTGCTGCCTTCTGAGCACAAGACTCAGCTCAACAAGCCATGTGCTGCTGGATGAGTCATGTCTGTGGCTCTTCACACCCTCCCACGGGACAGCTGGGACCCAAGATGGGGAGTGTGTTTGCAGTCACGGGGCATCGTCCCACCCAGGAGTTCTCAGAACCTGGCAATCTGGGAAGCCGGGGCTTGGCAGCTATGTGCCAAAGGCCTTCCTGAGAAAGTTGCTGGTGAGATGAGATGCAAAAAAAGGCCCCCTCTGTCCCTGGGCTGCCCAGGGCTTCCACGCCAAAGTCCAGGCATCCGTGTCTTGCCGTAGTGTATGGATAGTGACAGAATTCATGTTCTGTTGTGTGAATGAATGCAGAGTGGGCTTATACAAAAGGGTTCTTTCTTTGGCTTTGGCTGCTGGAAGCTGGCAAATTGGAGCCCAGCACTGCCGTCTGATGACGGACCTCCTTCCTGCATTGTAATGTGACAGAAGATATTGCATAGTGGGATACAGCCAGTGTGCCCGTGTGGGGCCTCTCTTCCTCTCCCTGTATAGCCTCTAATGCCATCCTGGGTTCCCCATTCTTCATTCTGGGGTTCCCACTGACATATAACTTCAGGAAGTTAAAGTTTCAGCCCATGAACTTTGGGGAGCCACTTACCAACCATAGCTAACATTGCAGATCCAATGAAAGAATGATTTATTTAAAAGAAGAACCATTTCATTCCACCTTCTCACCTCTCCCTGGCCACACCCCTAAGCTCCGTGGTTCAGAAACTCTCTGCTGTCCACTGGATAGCTCTGTCCTACCAAGTCGCTCAGTTTTGCCCTACTGGCCACAGTGCAGGTGACTCAGGGGCTGGACCTTTGAGAACTTGATGAGAACTGAGTTCTGGCCCCTCCCCTGACCCCCCACACCACATCCCATGCATGGTGGTCCTGAGCCCGAGGGAAAGGCCTTGTATGTCTTGGGGTGAAGTTGGATTTATCCTGTAGGTGACAGGAAGTTACTAGAGACTTGTCAGTATCTGGAAAGGACAGGGCAGTTGAGTGCAGTCTCAGGGCCTCTAACTTCAAAACCACCTACAGCTCCAGACCTGGCCCTTGGTCCCCTCCTCGGACCATGAAACCTGCATACTCTCCAGATGGGTCTTGTGCTCACCAACAGAAGAGACCCCACTAACTACACTGGAAGACCCACTCCTGCCTGTCTGTTGGAACCTTACCCCTTTCTGAAGTCCACTGCAACGTACCCACATCCAATTGCTCATGTGCCCAGCATGGCCATGGTCAGTGGCACTTGGCTGTAGCCAGCCGCTCTTACCCACAAGCTGTCTGTGTAAGGCACAGTTCAAATCAGGCTTTTTTCCTCTTTAACCATTTTAATTTAAAATTCTCTTTAACTTTTGGCTTATCTTGGTTACTCTTTTACCGGGGATCCTTTCCCAAAAATTCATGGAGAAATGGAATTAAAAGGAAAATTTATTCTGATGCACAAAGTGTTTCAAACCTCTATATAGTTGTGTTTTTTTTTCACTGTATGGTGTTTTAAAAGACTTTTTGTATGCATGAACTTCAAACATTTTTCCTCCAAAATGAACTTATCTTTTAATTGCATTTTTCCAAGAACTTTTTGAAGTCCCAGTGTCTAACCCACTTCAAGGCCTATAGGCAGGTACTGTCGTTCTCCGTTTCCCAAGAAGATGAGGCCATGCTTCTATTAAATATCTTGCCCAGGGCCTCCCAGTAAAAGGAGGCCTGATTTATACCAGGAGCTTCAGTCCTGCCCTGTGATGGGGCGGCACCTTCTGTTATACCGCTAGTGCCCAGCAGGCTAAATAAAATTCTGCAGGGTTTTTGAAGAAGTGGCCTCTTCCTGGTAGCCACTGTGGCTCCTTACTTTTTGTATCCACAGTGGGAGAGAGCCAGATCAGAAGGTCTGTGATAACAAGTCCAGAAGAGAGCTCTTCTTCCCGTGGCCAGCATTACATTTAATGGTGAAAATGTTTAAAAACCAGCATCATTAACAGTGCCCAACTGAACCCAGCCTTAGCAATCCTGTCTTTACTTGACATTCTGATATTGTGTTCCTCATGTTTTTTTTTTTCCTGGCATGCGATTACACCATTATTTCTAGATTCTGTTTGTTGGGACTCCACAGGTTTTCTTTTTGAAAATTGACCCATAATCTTTGTATGCATTTATGAGGTGCAAGGTGATATATGGTTCAGGCATGTATTGGGTCATTAGCACGCGCCTCATGTCACGATTTCATGATTCCTTGATGGTGACTGTGTTTGCGTCTTCTCTTCTGACTGTGTTGGGGTGTGTGACACATGATGGCCAGTTTTGTACCCCTTGTGCCGTCTGCCATAAAGTACATTTTGGTGATTCTTGAATTCTTGGATGTTTCATTTGTTTTCTCTTGGGCCAGCCCAGGTAGAGTAGAAGCAGTTCTAATACAGGGATGCCCGAGTCCAGGGTGAGTCTTAGCAGTAGCCTCGTTCCTGCTACTGAGGGCGGCGGGCAGTCAGACCCTGGTGACCACAGGCCCCAAGGAGAAGGAGTCGTGAGTATTGTTCATCTAGAAAAGCAACTTTATCAACTACAAGCCACTTGATGTAAGAGTAACTCCATAAGGTGTGATTTCACAAGATCAATATACTTTTCCCCTTTGTCTCCATCAAAAGATGTGTTTATTTATTTTAAAGAGAGTTATGTATCTCCCATCCCCAGGTTCACTTCCCAGATGGCCACGATGGCCAGGGCTGTGCCAGATTAGTGCCAGGAGCCGGAAGCTTCATCTGGGTCTCTTAAATGGATGGCAAGCACCCAGATATTTGGACTATTCTCCACCATTTTCCCAGGTCGTTATTAGGGAGCTGGATAGCAAGTAGAATAGCAAGAATACGAACTGGCACCCATTTGGGATACCAGCATTGCTGGCAGCAGCTCTGCGTGTTGTGCCACAATGCTGGTCTCTATATTTTTATATTCCAACAATAACAGGTAAACATGAGGGCACTTTAGGAAGTTCATGGAAGAATGAGGTTAAATAATAAAAATCATGCTGCACATGATTTTTAAAGTTATACAGTTTTTCATAATATGTATTTTCATAATTTTTGTATTCACAAAACTGATCTTTTAATTGCATTCTCCATGAAGTTTAGGACAAGCCCTCATTTCAGAAGTCCATTGAGAACAGCTAGAGAATAACGTATGTAAGATGAGTTGTCAGCAGCTTTGTAGAGGGGGACCTGGAAGGCTCGAATGGGAGAGATTCCTTGGGTGAACATGGGTAAAGGTTCTAAGTGTGAAGTCTCGCAATGTGTCCCAGCAACCAGCACAGGGGGACGCTGGAGAAACCTGGGATTCTTAACTACATTTGGAAGAGTAAACATGAGAACAACTTGGAAGGATCTAAAATTTGGGAGTAACTAGGCATAACTTGGAGCTGGGAAAAGGCCTTGGGAATTGTGCTGCCAGTTTCAGGGTTTTGGGCGGTGACTGTGGGGCTCGTTCAGACCCTGTGGGGTCTTTCCTGGGTGGGACAGGTGAAGTTGCGGGCTGCTGTGGGCAAGTGCAGTGAGTCAGCACTCCAGAGCTGCCAGCAAGGAGCAGCCCTGGTTATGCAGATGGGTGAATTCACACATTGGGAGCTGGTGGCTCTGTCAGTCACCCCACCTGCCTGGTCTGTATGGAGTAATTGTCCCTGTCATGGTTCTTCTGGGGATATCCAGAGTGGTGTGATTGTAATTGGGGCTGTGCTGGGTGCCCTGCGGGACACAGAATGAAAAACGTTCTGGTTTCTAAGCTCCCTGAGGAGAGGACAGAAGGCAGAGGATGCACAGTGGGGTGGGCCAGGCATCTGGACCACTGCAGGGTCATCCCATCCAGCCCTGCACCTGCCACCACCTCAAAACTCGCTGAGCTACTTTCTTGTTCTTTCTTCTACTGTTAAGCACTCATGCCTTTTAATGCTAATTTTAAAAAATCAGTAAAATAGATATGAGCTAAAATGACCATTTTTGTAAGAGTACAGGCTCTTATTTCTTAACCAGGCTTCTAGAATAAGGCTTAGGAATAAACACAACAACAACAACAACAACAACAACAACAACAAAATCATGTGTAAGGTGAAGGTCTGAGTTAAAGAATGCAGCAAACCCTCATGTAACCATGCAGCTGGAGAAGCAGATCACTAAGCCAGCTTCCCAGTGGCTGCTGTGCCTCGTCCTGCCTGGGCCCTTCTTGTCCCCAAGGGAATGGCAGGTGTCCTTCTCTGGTCCCTCTTCCTCCAGCCCTCCTGCATCCTAATACCACCTCCCTCTTGGACTGCAAGAGAAACCCTAAGTCGTATGCACCTGTCCTCTTGGCTTTGCTTCCTCGCGGTAGTGGTTTCAATCATCATGTGATGATTGTGCAGGTGGCAGTGTCCCATGACTGCTTCTGTACTTGTATTTTGGGGCATGGGTGTTGCCTGGGGGATTTAAGGCTGCCCCTTGTGGGGCTTGCTTGTGTCTTCTGCATGAAAGCTGTTCCTTTGTCTTCATGAGGGGGACAGCCTGACCCCAGCACCTTTGTTTGGACTTCAGTGCCCTCCCATGGGAGGGAGCCCCTGGGTTCCAGGGGCAGGGGCAGGAATGCAGAGGAGTGGCTGGCCTCACCCGCCTGACCACTGTTCTCCGTGGCACCGATTCACCTTGCTCCTGGCCAGCAAGTGTGCTGGATGGGAGGGCCCAGGCTGCAGTAATGGTGTGTGCAGATGGCTCCATGCACAGCCTGAGGCTAGGGACAGGCCTGCATGTGGCTGCAGGGGGCCATTCTTCTTGTGGTTCTAACTCTGCTTTCTGCACCCCTGCTCCCTACAGTGACTGCCTGCAAGAGATGACGGCCGCGTGAGCATCCACTATGGCCCACCGGAAGTGCCAGAGCACCGCCAGCAGCATGTTGGACCACAAGGCCAGGCCTGGCCCTGCTGTTCCCCACGGCCAGGAGCCTGAGGTGGAGGATGCTGAGCTACCCCTGGAGGGCTATGAGCCCAAGAGCCTGGAGGTGGCTGCCCTGCAGCCCGAGGAGCAGGAATGCCACAGCCACAGTCCCGACGGAGACTCCAGTTCCGACTATGTGAACAACACCTCAGAGGAGGAGGACTATGATGAGGGCCTCCCAGAAGAGGAGGAGGGTGTCACCTACTACATCCGCTACTGCCCTGAGGATGACAGTTACCTGGAGGGTATGGACTGCGCTGGGGAGGAGTACCTGGCCCACGGTGCCCCGCCTGTGGACACAGATGAGTGCCAAGAGGCGGTGGAGGAGTGGACGGACTCGGCCGGCCCACATGTCCTGGGCTCCGGGGCCGAAGACAGCCAGGGCTACCCCGAGGGCCACCTGTCCGTCCCCGAGGATGAGCCCTCGGTCCTGGATGCCCACCACCAGGAGGACAGCGGCCACTTCTGTCCCAGCCAAGAGGGCTACCAGGACTACTACCCTGCAGAGGCCAATGGCAATGCGGGCGTCGGCGCCTCCCCGTACCGTGGCCTGCGGCGTGCGGATGGCGACCTGGAGGACCAGGAGGAGGACATCGACCAGATTGTGGCTGAGATCAAGATGAGCCTGAGCATGACCAGCATTGCCAGCGCCGGGGAGGCCAGCCCTGAGCACGTGCCCGAGCCGGGGCCTGGGGACTCCACAGATGCCTGTCTGCCCAGCGAGGCCGGCCGCGGCCCCAACAGGCACGAGGCAAGGCCCAAGTCGCTGAATCTGCCTCCTGAGGCCAAGCACCCCGGAGACCCCCAGAGAGGCTTCAAGAACAAAAGCAGGACCCCTGAGGAGAGGCCGAAGTGGCCCCAAGAACAGGTAGGACTCGGGCTGTCCCCTGGCAGTGGGAAGGCATAGGGGTTTGGAGTGTGGAGTGTTGTGGTGTCGCCTGTCCCTGCATATGCCAGAGCTGAGACTGTGAAGGGGAGGGGCCTGGGAGGGACCTGGTTGCCCTCCCTCCAGATTGCAAGTGGGATTTCTCATGGGCTCTGAGGCTGGTGGCCACGTTGAGCTCACCCTCCAGTCCAGACATCAAAGGCTGGGGGAGTAGTAGAGGGTGCCCCTGCTCCCCCCACCCCAATGTCCTGGGTTTCTAGCCTGCTGCCCTAAAGCTGCCCAGGGCAGGGTTGTGTCCCTGGGATGCCACAGGTGGGGGTGGGGCATAGGCAGGGTTGCTCGTCTGGCTGCCCCAGCACTGAGGACAGTGGCTCAAGCACCTTCCATGGTGGCCTTGGGTCTCTGAAAGGCAGAACCTTGGCCTGGTGAATTGTTCTCATGGGCCACCATGAGAACAGTGTGGGACATTGTTATCTGTAGATCTGACAGTCATTGTGGAGAAGAATTGCATGCTAATGAGAGCACTGGATGTGAACGTAAGTGTGTGTTTCTCTTGATGATAGCCAAGTAAGCATGCATTTCAACAAACACGTTGCAAAAGCTGCCTTTCAAAAATAAGCACTCAGCCCACTGAGAGTATAAAAAGGCGAGTGTTGGGCTTACATCAAGGCACTTGTGTCTGACTGAGTCCTGGACTGTCTTCCTATTTGCTAAAGCCTTAATTATTCTTTTTTTGTTTGTTTTACTCAAAAGAGTTCATGAGTTACAGAATACATGTATAATTAGGATTTGTGTTTGGAATATAAATCGTTGACCGTGGATTCCTGGTACTTTCATTTTGATAACACGTTCTCTCTGAGGATTGTTCAGCACAAGTTGCCTTCCTAGGAGGGATGTGGTTGTCAATCAAGGACTCTCTCCCTGCGCTGGGGGGGGGGGGCGGTGGGCACTCAGGGACTGCCGTCATGCAGGTGGCTCTTGGTGAGGCTTTGCCTCCAGGGCAGGTGGCCCCAGGCCCCTGGCTCTGTGTCCCAGGCTTCAGGCCAGAGCTGCTGTCACTTTTCCTGTGTCTGGGGTCCAGCCTGGCCTGGTTCCCCAGCAGCAGCGACAGCAGCACAGGGAATGGCATGTTACTGACCACGTCTGATTGTAACACGGGATATCCATGGCAAGTTCGGGGAAGTTTATCTTTGGAGCCAGACCTGAGATTCTGCTGCTTTTGCTCCCATGACCTTCAAGGGGATGACGGTGCAGGAGAGAAGGCGGGGTGGTGTCTGTTAAAAGGGCAGGTGAAGGTCGGGACATGCTGAGCACTGGGGGTGGATCAAGGGGTTCCAGGAGGAGTTCTACCCCCTAGAGGATGCACAGCCTGGAAAGGCAGGCAGCTTTTGTCCGGAAGTAGAGCATGTGCTTGAAGCAAGTGCTCCAGGCTGACACTGGAGGAGCTGGCTGCAGCTGGCTGATGACTGTAGCTTTCTGCTTTCATTCACTCACAGATGAATTCCATCAAGTACAGGATGCAGCAGTGCCCAGCTCAGAGCTGGTGTGTAGCCTGCGTGCCTCTCTGAGGAGCCCCCCAGACGTGGGTCCCTGGGGGCAGGGTCTCCACATCCAGCAGGCCCTGGAACCCCCTTCCCAAGAGGGATGCTGGGACATTTGACCAGAGAAAGAGTTAGTGGAGATGGAGATCATGCTGAAAGCTAGTCCTTGGTGAAGTTTGGGCACTGGGAATGTGGAGGGTGCTGTATTGGTGATCACAGCCTGGGTTCCCAAAAGCAATCCCCTTACTCCCTGGGGGACTGCCAGACCGTGCTGGGAGACAGTGTAGGTTTGGCCTCAAGCAGGTGCGTGGGGAGCCACCAAGCTGTGAGGCCGCCTCTCCCAGTGGAGACTGTGGTAGATTCTGGAGGAAGAAAGGGTGATGTCAGCCACCTGCGTGCTTAACTGTCACTTTGCAAGTGTGCCCCCAGCCCAACACCATCGGGTCCAGTGGGGAGTGTTGCTGAGGAACCTCAGGACTCCAAGTTGGCCTGCCTGCAGGATGCCACGTTCACGGCGAGGAGCAGTGCTTAGATGACTTCAGTAGGGGGTGAACTGCCGGCATCTGTCGCTCCACTTCTGCTCAGCTTACAGCTTGGCACACGTACTCACGGGTGTTCGTGAACATGCGAGGTGGTGTGTCTTCGGTCACTGCACGAGAGATGAACAGCTCACTAAGATTAGGAGCGGGAGGGAGCGTGCAGCACAGTGTTCTCTGCCACACCCAACAGCCTTACAGGTGCACTGCTGTTTCTGTGATGCTAAGTTCCTGTCCACACTCCAGCATCCAGCATAAGCACAGTTGTAGTTTTGTCATTCAGCCTTTGCCTTCTGATAGATTAGAAGCATTTTTTCCAGATGGCCAGATAGTTTTCATGATTATTGTTTCCTGGCTGTTACTGCCCTTTTGGGCCATGTCCCGTCTAATGTGTGTGTTTGCACAAACCTTGCCCCTGGGCCTGCAGGGTTAGGTGTTTCTCTCCTATGTGCAGCTGGCACAGATGTCCTTGTGTAAACGGTGTCTCCTCCTTTTTGTATGATGACTCTGAGGTTAGATTCCCAGGCTGACTGTCAGTGTGAGCTGTTTCCCAGCGATTGCTGTGTTGAATTTTTGTCCTTTTTTTTTTTTTTGTCTGTCTCATGAAAGGCAGAGCTACAGAGAGAAGGAGGAAGAGAAAGAGAGTGTGAGAGAGAAGAAATAAATCTTTTATTGGTTGGTTGGCTTTCCAAATGGTTGCCATGGCCCAGCTTAAGTCAGGAACCAGGAGCTGTCCTGGCCTTCCATGTGGGTTGCAGGGCCTCAAGTGCTTGAGCCATCCTCTGCTGTGTTCCTAGGACATTAGCAGGGAGTTGCGTTGGCAACAGCCAGGGCTGGTGCACCAATATGTGATGTTGCTGTCACAACCCATAGCTTAATTTGCTCTGCCACACAAGATGGCCACAGTGCAAGGGATTTAATTGGATGGTTCCTTCTTCTAAGACTTGGTGTGTAAGCTCAAGGAGGGCATTGCTCTTAGTCTATTCCAAATGGTGGCACAGGACATGCGTGGGCTCTGCAACCTCCTGTGCAGGGGTGTGGATGTGGGGCCTTTTGAAAAAGGTGGATCTCTTAGCTCAGACTCTGATGAGATCACAATGTCTACGGGCAGGGGAATGGTGTGAGAGGTAGAGGAGGTTGGATTCCTAAAACGGTACCCGGTGTGAATGCTTGATTGGCTCATCCTTACCCTGCATGCTCCGAGATCGCTGTGGGTGCCATTTGTGTTCCAGCTGCTCCACTTCCCATGCAGCTGCTCCCACTCCCATGGCCTGAGAAAGCAGTGGAGGATGACCCAAAGCCTTTGGACCCTGCACTCACATGGAAGACCTGGAGGAGGCTCCAGGCTCCTGGCTTCAAATCGGCTCAGCTGGCTGTTGTGGTCATTTAGAGAGTGAACGGGCAGATGGAAGATCTTTTCTCTCTGTAAATCTGCCTTTTCAATAAAAATGAATATATCTTTTTTTTAAAAAAAAATCCTAATATCATGGGAAAATGGGATGGGGAACAGAGAATACCTCCATGGATATTTTTTGGTAAAAATTACAACAAAAGTTTTTCAAAATGACACGTGTTTTTTCACGGAAGGAAAATGGGAAGAGACAAGCAGATGAACAGCAGCATTTTGCCCTGTGGCACCAAGAATCTGTGTCAGAGTTCTCCTAGCAAAGAAACAAAGTACAAGCGTGGGGAGCCCCGGCTCAGGAGGCCACCGAACATTGTCTGCCAAAGCCCTCCCCGGTGCTCCTTGCTCTTGGGGTGTCTGTGAACTTGCCACGGTCTACGTGTACCCCTGAAATCGGTCCTCATGGCCCTGTCACACCTCTCTGGATATGGGCCGGGAGGGGAGGATGAGGTCATGCAGAGGCTGAGCCCGTCGGCCCTCTTGGCTCTGCCCTCATCTGGTGAGCTTCTCACGGTCTGTTGGCAGCCTTAGGTTTGCCTGGCTGTGCTTTATTGACTTAGTTGTTTTTGTGGGTGGTGGCAGTGGTGATGAAACTGCCGCTAAGGGTAGTGCTGAAGACTCTTGTTGCCAAATGGAAGGAGGTGGGGCATACACCTAGTGAAGAAAATACACATTAGGTAAGCTGCAGTCAGGCATGTGTTAGTGCTGTTGGCTGTGAGTTCCGAGTTAGTGAACCCACCAGCTGGTACATCCAGAGACAGGAAGAGGGGGTTCGCTGACCTGTATATGAGGCCACTCTGGAAAGTGCTAAGGTAACATCTGTGGTGTGACATGACATTACAGGCTGTGTGGCGACCTGGTTAAATGTGCTCATCTGTTCGATGATGAGTGATTTTTTCTTTATAATTTTACTTAGTTGTTAGGGTACAAAGGGTCAAGGGCTACAGAAAAGTGGGTAATACCATTGTTTACACACTAATATCATCATATTTTTTCCTGTATCTGGGGTCAGGGGAGAAACAAAGGGAGAAGCCCCACCCAGACTCCCACCCATCCCAGGTCCCTGACATGGGGCATACTCCGAGGGTCCTGCTCATGCAGTTTTGCTGGTCCAACAGTTCTGAATTGCTGCCAATCTCGTCACTCTAAGCACAATGAAATCTCTCAGATTCCACTGGCTGACATAGTCTCTTCATGGTTGGGGTTCTGAGATCAGCAGTTCAGTTGGAGGGATCCCCAGAGAAACTTTGTCTGGTGGTGATCCCAGACCTGATTCTTGTGTGTGCTTGCCAGTACAGGGTCCGGCACAATCCGTTGCCCCAATCAGCTTATGCCTATGGTAGTGGTTCCAATTGCTGAGTCAGTTCTGTTTCCAGACCTGTCTTCCAAGCGAATCAATGGGTGTTGTATTCCAGCCTGATCTTGTCCACTTCATACTTGGCCCTCACGCAAACCAGTGGGAGCTGCAGCCTAGTTGGGGTGACTCCCCATAACCCTCAC